AATGGATTCAACAAGTTCCCTGATTGCATCCGCAGCAACAGCCGGACTTATTCATCCAGTAACATCAGGGTGAAGAGAAAGGATGAAAGACACACAGGCATTGGTCGGGCTTCTATCAGTCTCTGGCTTATCTCTGCACATTCCAGTCCTGAAATTTAATTTTTCTGTCCAAAGTGATTGGACAAAAAAAAAAGAAAGAAAGAAAGAAAGAAATGTGACATTGTTCTGTCTCCATTTTCTGCCTGGGCTGAGCACCATTTTCTCTTTCTCTGAAGCGGCTGATTATGATGTCCGTTCTCTGTTATCTGCTTGGCTCTGCTTGGCTTCTAATCAGCGACCAGCAGTCCTCTGCCACTCCTTTTGTTACCCCTGCCTGGACTACAGCAGAGCTCATCTTTTTTTCTTCTTCTTCTTCTTCTTCTTTTTTTTATTCCAAGAAAGAGACTTCCTCTTGTTTCTTAATAGACTTCAAGCTGACTCCAGGCAAACACAACCTGACCCCGTTTTCTGAACTAGTCAGCACAATTTGCTTTTGAGAAAAAGGACAGCAAAACAAAACAAACCTCAATTAGGGGCAGGAATTTGCTTTTCTAATTACCAAAAGAATGAGAAAGCAATCTGCCTCAGGGAACTCTTTTTTTTTTTTTTTTCCACTCTTCTTTGCCACCAGTGATACTGTTCCACTTTGTCAAACTATCTCATTATTTTCGAGCGTGGCGTCTGCATCTCATTTGCAGAGCGAGTTCAGAGAAAGGTCTAACCGGCTGATTGAGAAGAGTGACGAGTTTTGTAATTATATTGATACCTACAGGAAGTTAATATGATTATTAACACCAGAAAACAGAACAATTATCCCCGTGATTGCGTTACGAGCCCGGTTTCGACGGCGAGATGGGCCGCTCGAGGTTTGTGATTCTGCACAGGCAGCTGCGTGCGGAGCCATTTGCCATCCTTTGATGAGATTCAGATTCATTCTGCCCTCCACCTGCACTTCGGAGTACCGCGAGCATGTTATGATGAAGGCGTACTGCAAATAAAAATCTATTCCACAAATCTCAATTTAAGAGTACGAGAGCAAATACATTCTGTTTCATCTGCCGACACAATCCACACCGAAGAGGCATGCCTTCAAACTGCTAAGTGTGCTGACTTGAGAATGAATGAGAAATAAAGACGACGTTTCCTTTTCACTCTTGTCGCTTAGCGTGGATGAAACACTGTCAGAAATACGGCGATGGAGCTCGCTAGCTTCGCTAGATCAAAACATTGCTTCGGTTTGCTTAGAATTGCCATTTATTTAAGGAGTAGAGGTCTCAAAAAAGATCTAAGGTCTGTTTCTGCAGCACAACGCCATAAAGAAGCTTTCATAAACATTCATTAATAAGCGTTATAGAGGCAGTATTATGCAAGCTTGACTTTGTTAAACTTACTGACTTTAATACACCATATGATAATGTTATTTCTTCATCAAAAACATAACCTTGATTCTTTTGAGAATGTATGAGAAATCTTTTCATTTCCATGGCGACCATTCTCGCTCCACCTTCTACACGGTTTCTAAGCTTCTGAGTTACAGCCTCAGAGAGAAGCCCTCCCTCACGACTCCCCAAATCAACTCCTTCAGACTAGCCAGCAGCAATTAGCAAACACCTGGTGGAACTGGGCTTCAGCTGAGCTCATTACCATAGCTACTTCTCAGTGCAACGGTGGTGAAATGTTGTTAAATAGTTAATAGAGGGCAGATGTTGTACTGACTTCCCTAAGGTGGAGCTTCAGAAAGAGCAGGGGTTTCTTAAAGCGCAGGAGAAGTAGGGTGTGATCTGCGTGAAGGAATGTTCTTGAAGAAATGTTTAGTCAGTGAATTAGAGGCTGAACTTGAACTGCCCTGGTTGCCTTAGCATTAGACTGTCTAGACTGTCTATTTACCAAGAGGAAATGCTATTCCAATACAAAGTCATGAAAGCTTAAAACTGAATGCAATTTTTCCTAGAAACTTACTGTTTTTTTTTTAGTTTTTTTTCATCAATTTAATTAAATAACCCTAAATAAGCCTGCAGTTGGATACTTTACTGTTCCATTATGTCCCTGAAAGGTTTAGTTTTGAAACTGCATCACTGTCTTTGCTAAATGTAGGCTGTGGTTAGGGGAGGAGAAAGAAGACAGGCAGGTAATTGGGATTGTACGGTAATAATGTGTTTGGTGTGGGCCAGACTTTCCTGGGTGTTAACATACGGGGCCATTAATTGGCTAATGGAGTATATGTGGTGGAGAACAAGGTGGTCTCTGAGGAGGAGGTGGGGATGAGGAGAGGAGTTGGCAGTGAAGCTGTTACAGGTTGCTGAAGTAAAGCGCTATTAGCAGGCGTTTGAGGTTTGAGGCTAATGAGCGGAAAAGTGGTCCACGCATTTCAGCACTCTTGTTCTGCTTTTAGAACAACTTTATTGTTCGACGTCCTTTTTTTCTTTCCAAGCATTTTAGTAGGGATTCAGAAATACAGAGGCGTAGAACAAGATTGCAATGTTTGCGTTTCAAAATTTTACGAGTACAACTTGGTTGTCAATCCTACAAAAAAAAATGTGCTTCATTTTAATTATATATAAATATCAGTCCATACATCCCTATGTTCTAATATTATACCTATTCCATGTCCATTTAAACCAGGATATCACATAAATATTTTTAGGACATGTTGAAATATTTGCTACATTTTTGCCACAGTTTGAAGACACCATTTAAGAGATATAACCTACACTTGTACAGTTTGAGTGCTGCACAAATGCCACAATGCGGACACAATTAAGACATTATATAATCTTGTGCTACACTATTCAGACACCTTACACTAAATGAAGACTCCTTTACCTCAGCACCAGTGAAATATCTCCCTTCAAACATACAGGGAAAAATATTGAATATTTAAACAATTTAACACAAGCTGGATCCAAATAAAACAATGACTTTGACGGCCACACGATTTAGTTTTGTTAGTTTTCATAAGTCTGTTGATTTACGTTTTTCATGTCAGACTGCAGCCTGGAAAGAAAGTTTCACCTCTAGCTTACAGCTGTTACTCCAACCCTAAGGTCAGTAAGTAAGTTTTTCATGGATCTGATTAGTCCATAAAACACCAGAGGCTCTTTAAATCCCAGGGGAATGACGTGAACCTGCAGTAACATCACTCCCGACTGAGACCTGACGTCATTGTGCGGGTGGAAAACCTTGTGCAAAGTTTGAGTTTTTGTGTCATTTCTTGACCTTTTTTTCCTAAATAAAAAAAAGCTAAATTAAAGCACCCTAGTTTTAACTATCTAAATTCAGAATTTGTTATACTATAGCACATTTTCGAATATTCAAAAGAAAAAAAAATCAGAATGGCTCAGCTCGTCGCTAAAGATGACAGCACAACTCGGAGCGTTGCATCAGCCTTCCAAATCTCATTCTCCAGATAATACCAAGAAAATAGGATTCAGGGCGGTTTGGAGTAAACACGGCCGCCTATGGACAGGATGTGGGAATTGGGTTAATCTGGCACTGAAAAATGGTGATTGTTTGAAATGTGATTACCGTTATTAAAACACACAGACCTGGGAGAGCCAGTCCTGCAGGGGGAATTGTACTGTGCTCCAAACCTGCCAATCATCTTCGAAGAGCGGCAGGAGGGGAGGTCAGAGGTCAGCTGTGACCTGAGGTAACGGGGAGGTTTTAGCAATAGGAGGCTGCCTGTGCGTGCATGAGTGCGCTCCCCATTGTAGAGCATCCAACATCTGGGACCAGTGAACGGTTTGGTGGCTGCTGTTGCCGGGGTCACCACGCCCCCCCCGTTTACTCCATTTTGGCTGTCCTCGGCGCTCCTCGCTCTGTGTCTCTCTCTCCCCTTCACTGTCCTCTCCATCTCCTCCTGCGGTGCCAGATCTGCTCGCACACATGCAGAGTGAGTCTCATTAGCCGCAGACAGATGGGCGATTGCATGGAACCGTTCTGTACGACGGGAAAGGTCTGTGAAAGGCTGTGTTGTGTGGCAGGGTTCCCAAGGGTGGAACAACATGGAAGGGGGCATGAAGAGAAGAAAATGAGATTTCCTTCCCACCTTCTCTTATTTGCAATGCTAAGGAACTGATCACCACGAGGCCTCGCTTTGCTGACTGGAATGAGCGCGCGTTGCAAAAACGCAAGATCCTACCAAATAGTTTTGGTCCAGTTTCTTGTGCAAATAATTTAGTACACTTGTAATAAGGCAAAAATTAATTGCAAGTAACTTTTCAGCTTGTAAAAGTCAATAATCCCTTAATACTGATTAAAACAGTATTTATTCCATTGGCAGATTATTTCAATCATAAAGTATTTTTCTAATGTGTGAAATAATCACATAACAGAACAAGTGCAGTTTTATGTAAATTAAGAAATTATTGACTTAAAATAAGCTCCTATATGTTCCTGAAAAGTTAGTTTAGTCTTACTTCAAGTGTAGTAAGATATTTGCAGCAGAAACTAGACCAGGAATACTTGGCAAGGTTCTGTGTTTTTGCAGTGTTTTAATTTTGAGACTGACATTTTTTTTTTCCCCCACACTTCATTGCAAAAGAGTCAGTCTTGTGACACAGACGCTTTGGGGTGCAGGTCCTCAAGTGTTAATAAAGGGGCACCTTGTGCTCCACATGCGACTCTGGTCTGCTTTAGCGGTGTGAGATTTATTACAGCTCATCATCTACATTTTAAATCAAGAGCTATTTGTAGCCTTATGCAGATGTTTAGTAATGTTCAACGGAACAGAATCGATCAGCCACGTTTATTTGTATAACGCATTTCAGCAACAGTGTAGTTTAAATCAGAGTAAATAAATGAGACAAATGAAAATGTAGGCTATACATTTCCACTTTTTTGGGGAGGCGAGGGGCGTCTTCTTCAGGTTTTGTGCTTTATCAGATTGAAGCATCCATTATATGCGTGTCATTGTTCATACATTTTGTGTCTAACCCTTAACCTAATGTCGTTCGTTCCAGAATCCAGGCCAAAATGCGGGAAATTCGGGAGCGGCAGGTGAAGGAGCGGGAATACGCCGAGATCCAAGACGTCGTCAACCGCACCTTCAGCTCAGACGAAGAGCACACCTACGCTGGCATCGAGTCGCTGGGCTCGTCTCAGGACAGCGGCAGCGCCGACCCCTATGGCCACCACTACCACCTGCCTCAGAGCCCGCAGAGCCCTCGATCCCCCGTCAACCCACAGTGCAACGGACCACCTCTGGAGGCGCTGTACGCCCAGGTCAACAAGCACCGCAACGGACGACCAGCGGCTCCCGACAGGTAAGGAACCCAATTCAGGTCCTGCTGGTCGTCTGAATGAGACTGACGAGCCTTGCTCCTCCGTAGCTCACTGATTTGCATCAGTCTGGGCGATTTACATCTCATCTATTATGCATAGACAGTGGTGTGAGTTCATTTGTTCACTTTTAGTTGGCAAAGACGAGACACGGTTCACAGATCAACGCTGAATTTCACACAGTGTTTTATCACATGCTTTATCTACAGGGCATTCCCCAGAGCAGGCTGGTAAAATCCAGAAACAAAGTAAAAGGAACATCAGAATCCTATCAGTAATTTTTCATGTAGCGGCATATATTATCTAGCGTCGTCTCACGTTTTTTTTTTTTTTTTTTTTCATTTTGCCGGGATCACAGGTAATCTCCTTGGAGCCACGTCTTTACCTTGAACGCATGTGCAGCCGACGGCTTGGCCACGTCAATAAAATGATAAATCTACAGTTTATAAGGTTGCAACACCATAAAGTTGCTTTCCTGTTCCAATAGGAAATTATCCAATATTTTGCCAATCGGCAGCCACTAAGATCTCGTTGCACAGTTTGTCGGCTCTGTGGCTTCAGATCTCTGTTTTGCCTTTGCACTGGAGATAATCCAATCTGTTTGGAAGACGCAGGAGAGATGAGTGTATTGTCGGCGAAAACTTTTTCCAACAGATGCCATAGGGCTCCTTCAGGCAAACCGGTAAGTTGTGAAGCTGCCGGGTCATGTCAGGAAAGTTTTTCCAGAACATTCTTTCCTGTAACTTAGTTTAGTTTTTCCATTTTTACTTGACAAAAACAAATTACCTGCGACCTTATAACATTCATTACATTAACTTGCTAAACCCTGATGCCCTTTTCTCTTTCTGAGTTGACGTACGGTGCATTTATTGATACTCATTGGGGGAGCATCAGTAGACCACTGGTCTACTGGTCTTTCCAACTTTCGGAGGACTGGATAATACCCACCCCCTGAGACAGACATGTGTCTTTGGCAGTGTAGTGACCTTTCCCTGCTGGGCGGTGGTTGGAATAGTGTGTTACTGTGTGTGTGGGTGTGTGTGTGACCAGGAAAGAGCACCTCAGGATAAGTAGCTGGATGTTTTTAAGAGGATTTGAGGAGGACGGATCTTCATCCTGTAACCCAGTAAATATAGAATAACAAGGCCTTGTGTTCCTCCTGGAAGCCAGATCAATGCACATGGGAAACAACCCGGTATTTCACCAAAAGCCAAAGATCAGCATCCGCTATCTTCTCTGGTCCAACTTTCAAACAACTGATTACAAATACGTAAAGAAAATACGATGATTGTCTTGACCCGAGCTTGTATTTCAAGGTCTTTTTTCCTTTTCACAAAAAAAGGTTTTCATTAAAGAACCCATTTTCTTTTATGCCTTACAAACAAAACATCAGAGAAGTACAACTTTCCACATCACTTTATACATTATTTTGTAGTATCTTGCTTCATAAGTCACATCTTTATTCTGATTTTTTTTACGCCTTTGAAATTTTTCTGATTTGCAAGAACAATGAAAGTATAACCTTCCAGCTTCATATGGATAATAATGTGACTCCAACAATAGCTACAAAGTTTAACGTATTTTATAAGGATTTTTTTATTTTCTATAGAAAGTAGCATGTAATTGCAAAGAGGAAGAAAATTGATGGTTTGGAAATTATATGAAGAGCATTTTAATTCAGCTTTAGTCTGACATTTTTGCCCATCTCTGGCAACACTTGCTCATCTACCTACTGACTCACCGTTATGCAGCATGATTAGTTCTGTTTTTAGTCTGAGTATGATGGAAATTTAAAATTAAAAGGAGTTTTGGAGGTTTATGTTTAAAGATAGACATAAACCTGGATAGACAAAGATGGTGAAACTTGCCCGTCTTTGGCAAGACTAGTATGTTGGGGTTATAATTCTGCTGGAAGGCGAACCTCCACCCTAATCTCAAGGCTTTCTTTCTAGTTTCCCTACATATCACACCACCCTGGAGGATTTTCATACAGACAAGAAAGCTCAATATTGTTCTCATGGCTTAATAATAAACTGTAAAGTGGATTTCTTATGGGTTTCATTCTCAACAATGTCTTGCTGTAAGCTGTTCTTCCTTAATGGCCAGACTTATGGGGTACATTACAATTCTCTCACCTGATGTGTCACTAACGTCTCATGACTTCGTAAAAGAGCAGCAGTTTCAGACTGATTCCTGGTATTGTACTGGATTTTGGGGTGTCGTAATGAGGATGAAACTTATACATTTTCCGACTTCCATTAGCCAAAATATTTCCAAGTCATGTGTCGTTTACCTCCCACTGCCGTCCTCTATCATAAAAATCCCAAAACAGTATGTAAAAAAATCTCATCACTGTAATAATGTTTAATTATTTCAACTTAAAATAACACATCAACAGTACGTACACCTTTTGTTACAATGTAAAGAAAAAAAACTTAAAGGGGGTGAATATTTTAGCAAGAAATTGTATTTCTTGTTTTGCCTCTTTTGGAAATATGCAGATCTGTAGGTTTATTTTCATATTAAAACTTAATGTTTCATGTTAATTACATGCAGAAGCTTCTGTTTGGCTTTGTCTGTGAGCTTTGAGTATTGATTGCTGAATGTGGAGCTTATTTGCAGGAACAGGATTAACTTTTCTGAACGTAGCGATTGGATTTCAAATATGCACAACGTGTACGACACTTGGGTTTTCGTTTTGCACCCCCATCTCGCTTTGCATATCTTATGTATGCCAGCCCAGCTGTGTGCCTGCCTGCAGTATTTGTCTGAAATACAATAATATCCACTGCTTCTTGGTCGCCTCTGTTTTTCCATTTACTGCTTTCAAAAGAGAGCCAGAAGCACATTCAGATTTAAAACTCCTGTCACTTGCCTATCATAACCAACGTAAACAGCAATTTGCATTTATAAATTAATCTTAATGGAACTGTCAAGTTTAAAGCTCCCATAAAACAAAATTTGCAATTATTTCCGACCTTTCTAACACTCACTTCAACAACCATGAGCTAAAACATTTAGATAAATACTTTTGTTGCATACTCTTTATTCCTTTTTGAATCTGTAACAATAACATAATTTGTGCAGGTGAAGATATATGGAAAAAGAGGTTTATGTCTTACTCAGTATACCTGTAACATTACATGGAAATATTATATCCCAACTATCCCAACTTAACTGTATTTACTGGTGTCTAATTGCAATTTGACTCCATGTTGACAGAGCTCCTTTAAACTGTTTTAACAGACTTTTAGGTAACCAATTCAACTTATTACTTTTTTCTTATATGTGCTAGAACCCTATTTTGATGTACTCTTGTTTAATTTCCTAAAATTTCTGATTTCACTTGCATCTGGAGTTGAACTGCTAGGAAGACTGAAGCTAGCTTTAAGGGAACACATGGCATGTGGTGCGCTATGAGACAAAGTTGTTAGCTTAGCACATTTTAGAGCTAACTGCACCCAATAATATTTGCTCCCATTAAATACCAACTGATTTTGCCATGGAGTGTGCATGTGTAGAATGGCCACCTAAAGTTTTGAGCCAACTTCGCAGCACTGTGTGATATTGACATTGTATGCTTTGCAATGCTAGCGAAATGCTTCGTCATTTCGCTAGCATCCCGCCAGCGAAATGACGAAGGGGTAGCCCCATGCTAAACCTAAATCTGGATGCTACAGTGAATATTTCCATAGGTTCAGTAGGACTGTAGATTTTCTAAAAATATAAAATGGAAATTAATTACATTTAAACTGTTGTCAATAACATCTGCTACGTTTAAGCAAACCTGAAACTTCAGACGTAACATTGTGGCCACAGGCAATTGAAGCGAGCAACACGGATAGTCTCGTCATTAATTGCATCTGTCAGTGGGGAGGTTATGTTTGGCAGCAAGTGAACATTTTGATTTAAGTGACTTTGACTGTTGTCAGATTTTTATTTGCTTGAAAGCCTGGTCAGAGCATCTCACCAATACTGCAGACCCGGTGGTGAGTTCAGTCTCTGCAGTTAGAAGCATCTATGAAAGCGGAAGGCAGTTTCCTCCATTAATGCTTGATTGGTGTATATTTTCAAGGTTAAAACAGTTCAAGTGCCATGGTAAGCTAATTAGCGCTGCGTCGCTTCAGATTTTTTGTCACAAGTCTGACTATCAGGTAGTTGGTCATTTGTTAGACAAGGTAAATTTCTCATTTCTGCAAGTGCCCTAACACATTTGTTTGGAAAATTCAACTCATTTACACCCTAGATGTTTGTACATACATGTACATTCACTTAATGCCTTAGTAAAAGCACTCAGCTATGACTCTGCAATGCTTGGTAAGCTGCTCTGTTGTTTACCCACTAAATTTCACGAAGAGAGAGAGAGAGAGAGAGGCTGCAGCTGGATAAATAACCTCCGTATGCACCCCCCCCTCTAATAGACCTTTGGTAATGGAGCCCTAATGGGAAGGTCACTGTGACTGTAAAGCCAGAGTGAGTCAGAGCTGAGCCAATAAACCACCGGGAGATACGAGGACCCCTGCTTGGTGTGGGCGTTCAGAGATACTGCCCACTCTGCCATATTGAGTTTTACAGTTCCTCTCTGGGATCACGCTACAACAAGAGCTCATTTGACAATTTATTGCTGTGTTATTAGAACTGGCAGCTATGGTTGTGTTTTGACAGTGCTGTCAGAATCAGTAAAACTGAGGGACACCGGTGGAAACTGAGGATTTGTTTGTGCTCGGTGTTGTAAAAACCTCATATAAAACCAAAAGGTAAATTTGGCGTTTCACCTCAATGTCTGAAACGTTGATTCTGCTTTGTTTATCATGGAGTTCACATGAAAGTGAGCCATGCCTGTACGTCTGAGCACATTTTCTTTTTAGATTGGTTTGTTTCACCTTATAAAAAAAAAAAGAGGCAGACCTCTAAAAATGGAATGACCTCATTTCTCGACAGACATCTGACAGGTCAACCCCTCCATCTGCCCGGAGACTGTGCG